TCCGTGGTATCTGGGAGCACGATTTCGATCAGCAAGTGCAAAAAGATGAGAGTTTACAGCAATTTGTAGGAAACCTGGACATTCCGGATCCTTTGAAACCTCGAGAAGCCCTGTACGGAGGTCGGACCAATGCCACCCGATTATATTGTGAGGAAGGGGACATGAGATACGTGGACGTTTGTTCCCTATACCCTTACGTGTTGAAACACAGACCATTTCCCGTAGGGCATCCCGAGATCATCACAGACGAGTTCCAGGACGTGAGAAATTATTTCGGTCTCATTCACTGTCGGGTCTTACCTCCCCGAGACCTCTATCACCCCGTATTACCTTATCGGACGGGAGGCAAGTTATTATTTCCCTTATGTCGCACGTGTGCCGAACGACAGGACTCTACGTCTCAAGATCGATGTCAACACACCGACCAGGAACGTAGTCTCACGGGTACTTGGGTGACGACCGAATTACATAAAGCCCTAGACATGGGATATACCTTAGATCGAATCTACGAAGTGTGGCATTTTAAAGAAAGCAGTCAAGAGTTATTCAGATCTTACATCGATACCTTCCTCAAGATCAAACAAGAAGCGTCCGGATTTCCCCCCGACTGTAAGACCTCAGAACAAGAACAAGATTACATTCGACAAGTGTTATACAAAGAAGGATTCATGATGGACATTCTCAGTATCGAGAAGAATCCAGTGAGAAGAACCATTGCTAAACTCTTTTTAAATTGTCTGTGGGGAAAATTTGCTCAACGCTTGTTATTACCCAAAACCAGATACTTGGATGAAGAAGAGGAATTACAGCAACTCTTACAAGATTCGACTCTCGACATCAAGGGCATGCAACTCTTAGACAATAAAGAGGACTCCAATAAGGACAAGATGCTAGTGAATTATCAAGACAAACAGGAATTCGTCGAAGAATGTCCCTTTGGAAACGTGGTCCTGGCTTGTTTTACCACCGCACATGCCCGCTTACACCTCTACGAGACTTTACAACCTTTAGGAGATCGGGTCCTTTATTTCGATACGGACAGTATCATTTACCAACATCGGGAAGGAGCCTTTAATCCTACCTTGGGTAATAGTTTAGGAGAATGGACCGACGAATTAGATGGGGATCACATCATCAAATTTATGTCGGCAGGCCCTAAAAATTATGCTTACCGGACGGCCAAAGGAACCGAGGTTCATAAAGTCAAAGGAATCACTCTCAACTATCGTACCTCCCAGATCGTGTCCCCAGAGACTTTAGAAAAAATGCTTAAGGGAGAAATAGAGGAAGTGACAGTACTTTATCCTGACAAAATCCAGAGGACCCGTGATCATGAGGTCGTGAACAAACCATTAGAGAAAAAGTATAGAATTGTATATGATAAGAGACAATTGTTACCCTCTTATAACACTTTACCTTATGGTTATTGATATGTTCAATATTGACATTGAATTAAAAAAAAATTGAATTGTTGTTTTCTGTGTTGTTGTTTTTCTTCTTCCCTATAAAAAGGGGAGCAATACAAATCAAAAGTTCAGTCATGACTGAGAAGTTGGTAGATCAACCCATGCGTTATCCCCAGTATGCTCGGCTCTCAAAAGAGAGAAGCTACTTTGAGCAGGGATGGCCAGAACCTCTTTAGGAAAAATACCAGACCTAGTCGAGCCGGGTTTTACTACAGGGGAGTGAAAGATAGCGCTACCTGTTTTCATTGTGGAATGATTTTTAGTAATTGGGATCCCGAGGACGATCCTTGTGTAGAACATGCTTATTGGAACCCCAATTGTTCTTACATCAATCTGTATAAGGGACGAGGGTGGGTGATGAATGTGTTTATTACGTGTTTAGAACAACAGGGATATAAACCTTTACCTGAGATTAAACCTCTACTGAACCCACAACCAGACGTCCAGGCTCGAGGAAAATGTCACATTTGTTTAGACGAGGAATTACAAATCGTTTTTCTACCTTGTGGACACGTATGCTGCTGTGCCTTGTGTGCTCCTTCCTTTCAGTTTTGCCCCATCTGTCGAGGCGAGATTCAACAGTCAAAACGTCTATTTCTGTGTTAACTATAAATAAGATCCTGAACCCAACTTTTCTTTCATTGATCAACATGTATTCCGAGGAGACACCCCTCCCTTCTTTATACCTGTTGGCAGTTCACAATGAATACACATGTTAAGCATGAAAGCCCTAGCACCTACTGATCAAAATTTAGGCCAAGTTTAAAGTTGGGTTTTTTTCTTTTAAAAATGTGTATCCTAGGTCAAGCGATCAGAGGTAAAAATTAATAGTAACCAAATAAAAGGTCTTAATTGTCACAAGAAATAAACCTATAAAATGTGGAAGCCATTTGTATAGCCCATCCCACTTAAAACTTTTTGGAAAGATTATAATTTCTGCAGACAAATAGACAGACATAATATAAACACAAGAAACAAAATATGTATAATTAGTCAAATGGAAAAAAAATATACTATTCAATTGGAATCAAAAAATAGATTGTTATTTCAGAGTGGGTAGGGAGATTGGACACCCCCCCCCCCCTGGAATTTGCTTTGTTATTCAAACAAGACTATATACTGAAGCAAATAAAAATGACTTTGGACATCCTCCCCCTAACTTAGAAAACATTGACCCCACTATCATTGTTTTTATTTTGTTTATTTGTTTTCAGTTTATGAGTTTTTTTTTCTCCTGCTTGTCAGGAAATTCTGGGCTGGAATTTTTTGACTTAGATGTGAACTCCCCTCCCTAATCGCGAAAAAGGATTCTGGATCCGCACCAGTATTGGCAGTAACTGAATGTCACATCGACAACTGGAGATAGCTTCACAATATGAAATTCGTCTATTGTGGCATGCGATGATCTTTGACCCTTTTTGAACTTTAACCTAATCGTTTGGGTTTATTTTACCCCCAAAAATACTTAAACTTGTACTTACCGACCTCCAAAGGTCTTGTCAACTTCATGAAATATAAATCCAATTATAACACAAAATGAATTAATCCAATGCACACCAGACTGCAGCATGTTCTAATGCTATTCCATTCGGAAAACCTTCGTGCCGTCAATTCCGTCACCTTATCAGATGAAGTGGGAATCGGCCGAGGTGTACCGAATGGAGTTTAATCTAAAAATATGATAATGGGTGATGCAACGTGATGTGATGTAGAATTTACATGTCAAGAACAAATTCTAAATTAATTCATAACAAACAATGTTTTAACAAAACTGTTCCATCTAGCCTATTCCAAAATGTATGTACTGTGTGATTGTGGTGTCGAGGAGGGGGGATTAGTAAAGTTAAAAAGGTCCTATTTTGAGCAAAACATTTATCAAAATCTAATTTACATCATTAATAGAATTCAAACTGGTATATAATGAATTAAGCATGTAAAATAAATATAAGAGATTCTGAGTTATAGGTCACAGGGAGAATTTCATACTCAATTTAATTTGATGAATACTTGTAAATTACAGGCACGTAGCAACCGGGGGGGGGGCACTTTTTTTCCCCAACATTACCTGTACTGTAAGAAAATGTTAATAAAGTTAATAAAAACCTCAGTCCGTGGCCAAGTCATGAATTCAAAACCCTGATTGCGACTGACAGATGTCGATATAAAGAAAATAAGTAAGAACTGTCAGTGGCTAAGCGGTCGGCATATGAATTGAAAGAATGGGCTCTTTTAAAGAAGACCTTACAAAAAGTCTCCTCCGTGTCACGATAGGCATTGGCAAGGTATGAAATCCCTTATATTATTTCTTTCCGCTTTTTCAAAAACCAGTTGATCTTTTATGCCTATCGTTCTGTCTGTCAGTGAATCCGTCACAATAAGTTTATTCTTTTGAATGAGTACATATAAAACTCCTGTTGTCACATCTGGATAACCTTTGGCAAGACCTTTCCGTCGTGACCTCGTGATTTCTCCTTAAGGTTTGTCCTACTTATTCAAATATTAAACCTTTTGACCTCATAATTTATAATGAGTAAATACAGTTTTTTTTTCCAGATTTCATATATACACTACTTTTGATAAACCCATTCTAAATGGGACATGACTTTTGACCTCATGACATTGGAGTTTGACCTTCAGTATATTTATGTAAGATAAACAGATATGACAGACAAGACATTTTAAATATTACATAGATGTTTACACTCAAATCAATAAGGTTCTGAAGGCAAATGACTATAATTTGTCGAATCTGTTTGTAAATAATGATATAAAATATTTTATCCAAGCAGTTAACCGATTCATCAATGTTACAAAATGCAAAAAAAGTTAGATCTGCCGAATTTGGATGTGGGTGCCGTTTGAACAACCTGCAATTATCCGAGGTTTTTTTTTCTTTTCAGTTGTTAACGGGACAGCTACGTATAATAATTCTTTATAAAGAAAAAAAAAAACACGGAAAAAATGCTCTACGAGATTTAAGCAGATTTCCTGTTTTATTATTATTTTGTGTTTATTTCGTAATTTTTTGATCGATACATTTATCTTGTCAGAAAAAAACAATTTGTCATTGAATCAAATATTGACTTACGTTCATCATACTAATTGTTATTGTCATCATGTCACGATGATGGCAAGAAGCACAAGGTGTGACCTGTCGGCAGGGGTACTCCCTTCTCCTTTGCATCTGATCCCACCACTGATGTTTTGGAGGTCCGTGTGTGTCGTGCTCCTATTTTGTATTGTTTATGGACTTTCAAGCTTGAATACCGTGTGTTATCTTCATATATTTCATTGCATTGTATTCTCCATAGATAATATACACTGATATCGTTTGCTGTGTCGATTAACTTTCAATTGAATAATTAAGGCACTGATCCTGTTCACACCAATTAAATTGGGAAGTATTATGAAGTTCGTCTTTTCTAATGCTATAGGCTTTAGGCTATAAGCACATGAAAAATTTTAAGTTAGAATTTCCTTGTAGGGATTTTAATTTTATTTTTAATAAAGAATAAACCAAATCATTAACTTTGCAACCATGATATGGACAGGTTTCACTTGCATATTTTTGCTGTCGCCTATGTTTAGTATCATAAAACATACTAAAGGGTATGGTAAGTACTAGATATATATGCTGTTAATTAATCTAGTCAGCTTTGGCCAGAAAAGCAGTCAAAGATTTAAGGACCAAACTACTGATTTTTCATATGTTAAAATAACACATACTGGTAAGTTATTAATGCTTAATGCATATGCTTCAACTTTTTAAAATTATTGGCAATTAAAGGATGTGAAGAAGAAACTGCAGTTTTGGCTTTATTGTGCCCGAGAAATTAAATGTTCTTAAAAATTATGTAATTGACTTTAACAAAAGTAGAGCAAATGAATAATCATTAAAGAATAGGGCATGAAAGAAGGTCAGTCTGGAAATTCTGGATCAACAGATCTTTCGTTTAGCAAACAAAACAGGTATCAAAAAATGTATTATGTTTGACTTAGAATTGCCCATAGTTCGAAGAACATTCTTGAAGAATGTCAAAAATTTCCTAAATGTTGTTCTTTCTCCATACCGAAGAGCATAATTTATTATGTTTAATTCATTGCACCCTACGTAAAGACGGACGAAATTGTGGCTTAGTGTTTTAAGCGTTTGCTCTAAAGACTGGGTGTTAGCCGAAAATTCCCAATTCTTGAATTCGGGAAGTGGAAACCGGTTTTTCTGATGAGATTGCTTTAACCGAGGTCCCGTGTTGTAGTAGAAGGAACCCCCTCCCCCCAAAAAAGAACTGTTCAGGGGCCATGGGTAATATGTATCGACACTTTCTAATATTCTTGCACAAGATGAAGAGATAGATCATGTGAATTTACACGAAAAAAAAAAATCTAAGAATTTACGCGAAGGAATATCATACCTACAACGGGTAAAATTATATTTCGACAAGATTTATCTCCTTTTTTTTAGTTAACACTAAAGCATTAAAATTTCGTTTAAAATCCTGTTTATATAATAAAAGGGAGAAAAAGAAAAGGAAGTAATCATTTGTATAGTTATTGGTCCATAAAATATCGTTACCCAGTGTTAGTTGCATCTAGTTTTGATATTCAAAATAAAAAAAAAGAAATGTTACATTGACTTCCTGCTATTCACCCGTATCTCAATGGTTAGATTAGTAACTATAACACAAGTTGACAATCAAAAGGTTTTATGATAGTAAGGAAACAATTATAATGAATCCTTTCAATGAGGATAAAATTTGAATACCCGTAATACATGTGTATTTCTATATAAAGAATAAATTCGATATAATAGTTTTTGTTTTATTTTGAAAAAAAAAACTGCAATGTTATTGAAGGTTAACGTTATGCTGGGATTTGCAGGGGTGCGTGTTAAAGTACTTGAAATATTAAAATGCATCTGTATTTTTTTAAAGTTATGGAATATATCTGAATACAGTCAATTAGCATTGAGAGTTCTTTCAGCTATATATACACCTCCTTAGATGTCACACAATTTGGTTGACCATATATTTACTTGTTGATTGCATAAGTCACAAACACAAATGTTCCGTTATTTTATTTGTACATTGATATCTAATATTTATTCAGTGATATCTTTTTGGGTTACAAAGCATTATATTTAGTGGAGCATTTTTGTATCATATAGAAGTAAATTAATATCAGAAGTAGAAAATCTATGAAGCTTGAAAAGACAGGAAAATCTACGCTAAATACAGAATACCTGACGATTAGTAATACACTCTAGAACCTTGATAGTCTATAATTTTAAAATTAAAATGAACTTTAGAAATCGAAATGCAAGTGTACATAAAATGAATATTTAAACAAATCTCGATCTCCCACATTTGACACAAAAATTATCAATAATATACTTTTTGATTTATATTTAGTTTAGCTGATTTGATTGTCTTGAACTGGAAGGTATTTTTCTGAAAATGCTAGTGCAGATGCAAATGCCCGAGGAATGATAAGAATCTTGAACTTATTTTAGTATTTCTAAGTTGTTACTGTTCATTCATTTATTTTTAAATATGTTGCAAACATTTCGTTTGTTTAATTGTTTCACGTCTCTATGAGAATTGTGTTATTGATGTTCAGAAGTCACCATCTGATTGTGAAGGACAGCAAATTAATACCATTACTCGGCACAAACGGCGTTTGAGGAGTGCAAATCTACTGTGGCTTGGGATCTTAGTTTATGTGGTCTTATCCGAAAAATCTACGTCCAAAGTGGTACGAGACCGCGACTATAAAATAAAGTCCTCACTCTAAAAAAAAAAAAAAACGCACCAACAACTGTGAAACGCGGGCAACAGAATAGAACTAAATCAATTAAAATTACACTTTTTAAGGGAAGCAATTTTTAAAACGCAATTTTGTTTAAATAGTGTCATGATCATGTTATAAACAAATTCAACCGCTAATCTCAGTGTGTACACCATGTCATAATACTATGGTTTTGTTGTATGCATACATAATTATTTAAACTTTGCACAACCACAACAAACTTTTACATACAAGCAACACTTTTGTGAAACAAAGTCTGGTTTTGAATTACAAATTATGAAATTTAGTTTAATTGCATCGAGTATAATTTTTATATTCGAAAAATATGCCCTAAAAGGTTTAATTACCATGCTTCAGTAAGTATATGCTATCTTTTCTTTTAGTTAAATAAGAACAATGCCACTTTTGCAGCTCATCGAATCATGTAACACTATTGTCTATATAAGTTTAGGTAAAATTACTAAGTCTAGCTTATACTAAAGGGTGTTAAAAAGGTTAGTTCCACATTTTTTTCTTTTATTTTCGACAAAAATACGATGAGAAGATATTTAAAATTTGTAATATTTCATGTTTAAACAAGCCATTCTTGCAACTGATAAGGTTGTAACCGTCTTTTGTTGAATCAATAAGGGGAGGGAAGGTATTAAAACAGATTATGTCTGTTCAGAACAATTAGAGATGACGCCTTTTTTGTGAAATATATCAAGCACACAGGTCAATACATCCTTTTCAAACACTATGCAAAGATTATCAAATCTGTAAAAAATTTCAATATGACAAACCTATTTATTTGAAAAGTATGGCTGAAAAATTGCCGAATCGGCGTTAAACAATATACAATCAATCAATCTTTTGAAAAATGATCTATTGTTCTTATTGCTAAGCTCGTCAGCATGTCATCATGATGCAAGATAAGGTATGAAGAAACAAATAACAAGAAACAAGCATATTCTTTATTTTCATTCAAAATGACTTGCATTTCTATCATTCGGATGATTTAAAAATGTTACATATTTTGTTCATTTGGACAAAAAATCCTATAATTTCCTGCTAGAAATGAATTGCTATAAATCTACAGCAAACTCTTGTGATTTTGCCAGACTTGAAAATTCATCTCTTTAGTGAAGCACTACTTTGACATTTTTGAAAATCTTTCATCATGGAACAAACTTTCTTAACACCCCTTATTTTTTCCTAGAAAATATTGCGCTTGGGAAAAACACGTGGCAATCCACTTCATTCGGAAATCATACATCTGACAAGGCAGTAGATGGATTAAAGACTAACCTCTCTGGTCCTGGAAACCAATGTAGTATATCAAATAATAGACAAACAAAAGCTGAGTGGGGGGTAAATCTGGATAATATACTCAGTATTCGATCTGTTGTGATATACTACAGAACAGAAAATAGCATTTGGGGTTTGTATATAACATACTTAAAGTTTTAGAAACATGACGTACAGCTTTTAATGTAATTTGAGAATGTCCTTGTTTCATATATTTCTTGTACGTTTCTACTTTTTAAAATTTTTCCCACTTTACCCGGGTATCATGATGTCTATATATTTTTTAACAATGACAAAACTTTAACATCTGTCTTACTAGCACCTTTCTTTAAAACTCCTCCTTAACAAATCCCAACAAATTCAGCAGCAGTATCTTTATAAGTTCTTCACAAAGTAATTTTTCCATATCGGCCTTTAACCTAGTTGAGAGAGGCACTGGTGTTATGACACTACTAAGTCAAAAACGTACTGACATTCCCATTTTTTACTGACAAACTTAGAAAATTACTGACAATGTGCTGTCGTTACTGTAAAACTTAGACAATTACTGAACTTTTTACTGCCGGTACTGATAAACTTAGAAAAGTGCTGACAATCTTAGTCGGTGCTGATAAACTTAGACAATTACTGACCCGTTTACTGTCCCTGCTGAAAAACTTAGACAAGTGCTGACATTTACTGATAATTACTGTCCCTATTGTTCTCGCTCTCGGGGAGGCTGCAGTGGTGTGAAATTAAATTTTTTTATTTTAACATTCATTTATTTTTTTTTTTCATATAATTTTTAACTTTGTCCAGATGATATCTTTGAAAAAAAAAAACAGCTTCTTTGATCTATCTATATAAAAAAGATTTGTAAAAAAAAAAATATTTTCAAGAGAAGGGATAAAATTTCAAATCCTCTGTACAAGTCATATAATTATATACCCCTGTTAAAGATTTCCGGTTTCATTTGCTCATACGGGAGTTCCCCTATTGAACAGTACAGTGTTCCATATATAAACTTGTACTATGCCTTGTTAATTTTGTCATTTAAAACATTATTTCTAAATGAATGGTTGGTTGATCGATTACGCAGGGTTCATAAGTACCCAATGTCTGTAAGTCCGAGACTTATAAATAATTATTAATAAAAATTCATTTACTAGCAATTATAGTAATCTTACGAAAAATATTTATATTTACTAGGTCAGCGGTTAGACTAATATTAGCAGTAGCACCATTCTCAAATATTTTTCTTCTCTCTCTCCCTCCCTCTCTCTCATAAAGATACACACACTTGACAAGTGGGCCGTTTATTCACATTGCCGAGGGGGTTAGATCACTATTTAGTTTTTAAACTTAATCTTTAAGTATTTTTTAATCATGATTCAATTTTAACAAAAATATTACATGTTTCGTACCTTCTATTTTTTCCCCTCTAGCTATCGGTGAATTGGAATTAATTTAATTTTACACTGCATGAAAAGTCGGGTTTAATTTTACCTTAAATGCGATTTAAATGCTGCGATTATTTAATGTTTAAATGCATAATATAACATATTGTGGGATCGTAAATGTTAGAAAATAATTAGTATTTAATACGAGTTTAATGAAAAATTAAAAGAACAAATTTAATAAAGTTTGGAAAATTGTAAACTTACTAATACGTTCGGATTTAAGTCTGTCGTAAACAAGTATTATACCTCTAATATACAAAACGTATAATTATTATTAAACATGGCCATAAAATAAAGTTTTATGGTCATATTAAATTTGTTCGTTTAATAAAATTTAACGTTGATCTTTACCTCATTATTTGTTGTTAAATTCACACTTTACTTTATAATACTTCCAAAAATTACGTTACATACGGAAAATTGTAAACTTACTAATACGTTCAAATTTTAATCTTTCATAAACTAATATTAAATCTCGTATATAAGTGATGAAAATGTACGGATTAAACCTTCCCATATCATTAAGATTTAAGGTTGTATTTGATGAAATTTAATATTATTATATCATTGCATAATATCTTTATTTTATATTTATTCCATCAATAATTTGTATGGTTTACAATTGTGGGTTTTTTGGCAAGAATTTTACAAGCATACACAAATCCATTTCTCATTCAATTTTATTAGATGTTATCTCAATAGTGTAAAAACAATGAGTTCTAACAAAGTACAAGATATTTCAAATTTATGCCTAAAAGCCAGCATTTAAAAAATTACAATCATGATTGTAGCTCAATTATAATGGAGTAAATTTCTACATACTAGTAGTAAGTAATATACTGAAGTAATTATAAATAATTTAACATAAGAATAGAATTGTATGTAAAATTCAAATCCGCAATAAATCAGAACACAACAGGTCAAAAATGTAATCATTCTGGACTCCAAAAGACTGCAAAATCTGACTGAAACTGTCCCTATTAAAACTGCTGCATGGGTTGTAAATGGCTTTTCAATTTCCCACAATAAATTATATCATACTTTGCATAAAAAGAATAAAAGTTGCCAATAAAAGTTGCCCATTCGTTGTACATGTACATTAAATAAGGCACACTAAGCCACTGGCAGAGAAGCCTCACTCGCCCACAAGCAACAGCAAAAGGATCGGTCAGAGACACCACCTTTCTCTTACTTGGGTATCAAGATCTGCAACTTATTGCCAGCAAAGCTCTTTCAGACCACCCTTATATTGTTTCCCAAGTATTTCCAAAATAGATGTCCATGCACTAATTATTCAAGTTCGACTTGTAAAATACTTAATGTTGACTGAAAAATACAACACCCAAAAAAATCCCTTATATCATTTGGTTATGTCAATTCAAATTAAGGAAAAAGTATCACAATTACACAAAACAATAGCAGCTTCAAATTGTTTCCAATACATGTAGCTCATTTCTGTTCCAACTGCTAGGTTTATTGCTTGATGATTGTAATTTAACATATCCTTATTAAATCAACTTTGCATTGGAATGCAAGACATTACAATATTGATATTTTTAACTTTGCCTTAAAATATCAAGAATGAGCTCTGAAACATGCACATATAAAAGTCCTGTATTAACATATGTGCAAGTATATTTAACAATTTTTGTAAGCCTTAATTACAATTCCATTTTAATGGAAAATATTCTCGTCAAAAACTCTCTTACTTCAACTGGAAGGAAACAAATTAATATTTTACTCTTGCAATTCTCATTACTCTTTCAATATCAATTGTAATATTTATTAAAATCACAATTCACCCCTTTTTTTACTCAGAAATGTCTGTACCTCATTTGCCTATTCTATTTTTTACATCTTTGACCCACTAAGCCACTGACAGAGAAGCCTCACTCGCCCACAAGCAACAGCAAAAGGATCGGTCAGAGACGCCACCCTTCTCTTACTTGGGTATCAAGATCTGCAACTTACTGCCAGCAAAGCTCTTTCAGACTACCCTTGATTGTCTTTTTTTTCCCACAATAATGTCCATGCACTTATTATTTAAGTCAGACTTGTACATATATGTAATATATAAATCAAGATTAAAATGTATGTGATTGCATACTACACAACAAACCAATAAATGTTTAAACAATAAAAAACATAACGGTTTCAATCTGTAATCAAGCATCAGAAAAAAAAATTAAATTTCGCTGTCAAAAATACAACACTAGGTATATTTTTTTCTTATCTAACATTGAATGTGTAAATTAAAGATAAGTAAAACAAGCATCACATTTGTGAAAAAAAGTAGCAACTCAGATATTTCATCTCAAATAGCCCATCTCTGTTCAATTACTACATCCATAGGGTTGACTCTTTTAGATTCTTTATTTGTCCTAGTTCTCCTTATGCTCTGCCTTTTAGAGTGCTTTGATTTGAGAGTTGCACTTTTGGTGTCCTGTTCTTTGAATACTTTCTCACATTCATCAGAACGCAACTTCAGTTTTCTAATTTCATAGATAGTATTATCTTTAGAATCATTTTTTGTACTATGAAGACGTAATCAATATTTAAAACTGCTTCTTCTTGCTTTTTCTTCTCTTCATGCCAAGAAGTTTTCAGCTCTGGAGAAGCACATCTAGCTCCTAATTTCTACAACAAACATAAAAATAAATACCCATTTGCCTATATATACATATTATATGTGTGCTTTCGGATTTATGCAATTGCATATATTAAATAGTACACAAAATCTGAGTTGATTGTAAAATTATCAATTGACCTAGAGGAAACACAGCTCAATTTTGATTAATTAAAAAAATTACAGAAGACCACAAAAGATATGCCATTTTTTTCTAGTCTGGGTAATAAAGACAGATAATTATCTATAATTTCAGGCCAGCAAGCTACAGATTATGAAGCTAATGTTGTTATACATGTAAAGTGGGGACTAATGATTTTTTCGCCATCTTTTTTGTTTTTGGAGCATTTTATTACTATGTTTACCTGCTTGACCTTGAACATGTTGAAGTGCCCTTTTCTCTGCTCCTCCACTATAATTCTTTTATTTAGCAGCAAGATACTATGGACATGGTAAAAAGCTGTCACAAACAATATATGAAAAATTAATAACAGGTATGGCTCTCCGTATAAAGAATATACAAAAAAGGAGAAAAAATATACAAATAGGGTATACTTATGACTAAAGCAAGACGATAACATTTTACACAATGAAAAAAATTCTCTGTGTCATCTAGGTAAGTGAATTACATAAAAAAAACATATAATTATATGTATAGATCAAATTTATAGACGACAAAATATGATATGAAACATACATAATGGTACCGTAGTCCGAACACATGGAATTTGAAGATTTACAAAGTTTACAAAAATGAAAATAATAGCATTTACAGCATTTAATATATTAAGACATACGTATCTATAGTTTCACAGCAGCAAGCTACAGATTTTGTGGAAGTACATGTAAATTGGAGACTGGTGACTTTTTGCCATTTTTTTTGGAGCAATTTACCAATGTATTTACCTGCTTGACCTTGAATATGTTGAGATGCACAGCCCTTTTCTTTGTTTTCCTCCACAATATTTATTTTAATGTAGCAGAAAGATACTATGGATAAAAAATATGAAAAATTAAAAGCAGGTATGGCATCTCCTAGAAAAAATATACAGATGTTTTTATGATTAGAGGAAGTAGATAACATTCATTCAATAATAAAATCCTTAATCTTTGTGATCTAGTTCAGCGAATTATTTCAAAAACATATCATGATATGTATTAGATTAAATTTAGAGACGACAAAACATGATAAAATGGATGTACATACTCGGAACACATTGAATTTAAGAGTAAACAAAAATGCAAAGGTTAGCATCTACAACATTTAACATGCAAGTTATTGGAATAATGAGCAAGTGATTTAATATAAAGTAAAATATATTTAATTTAACAATTTACACTGTAGATAGCAGGTCTTTAAAGTGGACAGCAAATGCAAAGTTCTAGTAAATGGTGGCAATCTCATACACAATAAGTCGTACAACAAATGATTAGTTCGTACCTCATACTGGGTAGCCAAATATCTGGTCAAGTCACTTTCAGAAGGAAGGCTCAGCAAGTTCAATGTTGGTCATTCCCATAGCTACTTCAAACTTTTCTGGCACAATTTCTGAAAGAAAATATGTATCTTGCAGGGTTTTTTGTACAAACTAGGATTAATTCTCATGAATGTAAAAATTTGAAAAGTTTATAGATGACAGACAAATACCAGACACAGATAAGAAAACTCGCTCGGGTCTTAAAATGGCTCAGGTGAGCTAAAAAAATCAATTCATGTGACTTTATTGATCTTATCAGAAAATTTAAGAAATCTTTCTTCATACTGCTTTTGTCATTTCTTGTGATCATTTGGATTCCTGTAAATAATGTATGCATAATTGTGCATCATAGAATATGATAGCTATTTTTAATAATTCATGCTTAAGTATTTAACTTAAAAAAAATTATGCATAGCTCAGAATCCATTGCTATTGAATTTTTAGGATAAGGAAAATAAGAATATTAACCTCGTCTTGTTTACTTGGTATATAGCATTTCAATTTGTTGCAATATTTTTATAGTCTTATGCTTAAAGATACAGGTTGATAGAAACATTGTTAGTTTATTTGTGTTAATTGAAAATTCGAGCTGCATGGTTCTCACCATTTTCACAAGCTGTCTACATAGCCGGCGATGTGGGGAATCCTCTCAGGCACAGTCCACTGCAACTATTTAAATAATCAAAATAAGTGCTGAATATATTCTTGAGTATGCATAAGAAATAAATAAATATTTTATTACATTGTACAACATACTCTGTAAATTCTGAACAGAGGAACACTTTAGTGACTAAAATTCTGAAACCAATACCAAACGAGAAAATTCTGGTTAAAATCCATCTTTAAGAGAGATAATTAAAAGTGTTAAAAAATTATTACGAAATTTAAATAGCGCTTGCCCAAACGTTTTTACTGCCAGGCATTTTATGTGTAGTGCCCAGACTAAGGAACAGTAACATTATCAGTAGCAGGTGCAATTATTCATTCAAGGACACATGATAAAATTTTGTACATTGTTCCTACCGCTAAACAGGGTCGTAAATGTCTTCATCTTCTGTTGAAACAGAAATTACATCCAAAGCTAATCATGCTTCTCCTTTTCGTGTCACTCTCTTTCGCCCCGTACAACATCATGATCAAGTTCAACATGGCTGCGTGGAACTCTCCAAGAAATTGAATTTCGGCGCGGTGTGTTGTTTTCAAATTAATTGCTTTTCGAGCCCGACTTCGATCCCGATGTAATTGTACTACAGTAGTAGTCGATCATAGAGAAAAAAACTAAGTTATATTCCACAGTTTTGAAAAAAATCTACATAAGGGTTAAATAAATAAAAATGAGAAATGAATAAATTAAATGAATAGGGTGCCTAAATGTTTTTTTTACAAAAATGTTTCAACATAAGTTTACATTAGGTATAAAGAATTATTTATGACATATTGAAAATACCAAAAATGTACTTAAACTTTAAGTATAAGAATATTTACTTTAACTTGTCGATATTCTTAAACGAAACGTATAATTTTCTCAATTAAACTATATTATTCTCGACGTATTTTGCATTAAATGTGATTATACTTATTTGAAAACTGTACTTAATTATATCACAATATATCTCATGTAAAATGTACCGTTATACATAAACTAACTTCAATACAAGAAATTTACTGGAGTAAACGAATTTATTAAATTATATTAAACGCGACTTTTCATGCAGTGTTATGTGCTGAAATTATATTTCATATCATTAAAGTAGGTAGGCGTAGGGTGTTATGATGTTAACATAATAATAAGGCAGAATGCGGACTTGTCTAGTAAAATATTTTACGAAGTAGTGAAAATTGGAAGTCATTAGTCCGTCGAACCAGTGCTCACAAATATTTATTTCGAACCCTCTAGCATACATGTATAAGTCCCCCCCCCCCCCCCATGCACACACGATACATGAAAAAAAAAATCTAGAATACCGGTACTTGAATATGATTTATAAAAACGTGTTTACAAGTTTTTTGAACATGTTGAATGATGCAAATTTCTTTGTCCATTTGATCAATTTATACCCGTCCCGTAATCATTATTTATTTGATTCAGGTTTCATTAACATCTTTCCTTTTTATAAGATTAAGATTATTCGCTAACTGTAGGTTCCCACTATTTCCGTGACGAGTTACCATTCATCTCTCTCTCCCTCCTCTCTCTCTCTCTCCAAAAATCAATATCGACCCGGGCAAAGTTTAAAATACATGTATAGTTAAAGTTCGGCTGTTTTTTTTTTACTGTCATAAAACTGCTGCATGTAAATTGTGTTTGATTTTTAATTATTTTTAATTACTGATAAAAAGTTAAGGAAATATACTATGAACTATTTTTATTTGATTGGTAATCAAACAAATTCCTCACTCCACTGTCCCACACGCACACTAACACGACTTAACAAAAAATATTAGGAACCAGTAATTTTTACAAAACTTTGGATGTAATGTACCCCTTCTCATATATTTATTTTTGCTTAAATCTTTAAACAATTTGTGCCTTTCCCCGGTTGGTCTTTACATCAATCTTCTTTTTCATTAATCGTTAATTTTATCTTACGTCGGTATATTAAAAAAAAATATTTATTTAATCTAAGAAGAGGTTGAAGGATTGTAGATTGCATATTTATATTACGTATGTGTTGGTGTTGAATTTCTCAAATTAAAACTGTCTTGAAGAAGAGTCTACCTGTCGCCGTAATGTTGCGTAACTAACTTCCAGTGAAATCCGGCGAGTGTTCTTCTGTATAATACAGCAGTGACACCTATTGTCTTCTTTACCCGCTACCGTACACACTCGGATCGCCTCAGACGATTTCTTCTACACACAGGTGCTTCACAGAGTTTCCGATTGTATGTTGAATGATTATGTAATTCGGCTGGATACCAGCTAAACGACTTGAATAATTTTGGACGAATAAAAAGCACAGTGTTACTGTAATGATACTGGTTTCAATACCGAACAAAGCTATGAAACGTCGATTTAAGTTAATTAAATTTACATGTATTAATTTTTTGTACCTAAACAGATAAAAAGGAGTACAAACTTAAACACGACAGTATTAATTGTGTGTTCTACTTTAATAAAATAAATAAGTACATGTGCATCGTTCTTCATTTAGATCGCACGTCCCCCCCCCCCCCCCCTCCATTTTAATTTGAAAAGACAAAAAGAAAATAGATCCATGCGAACGTCTACCGACACTCTAATTGAAAAGAACATTGATATTAATTTCTATCAAAGTTTTGTTTCAGGAGTATGTATAGACAAAAGATGATAATATAAAATGTCATAGTTTTTATGTATTTGAATTAAAATAATACTTTCAGGTGGGGATCCAGAAAATCCAGATTCGAAAATCAGCTAAAAGATGTACATTATTTCAAAAGGATAATGCGGACAGTAACTAAATCGATGAATGTCAAAGGATCAATGATCAATGCAGGCCCGTAGCCCCCCCCCCCCCCCTTTGCCCAATAAAATAAAAGTCTTTTTTTTTAATTTAAATCCCCAGTCTGTCTTTTAATTTTGGTTTCTTCTTGCAAATGCTTGGATTCGGGTATGTTTGACTGCACAAAAACAAATATGGGCGGCCTCCACATAATTAAAAATTTTACATAATATGGAAACTATAACAAACGCCTTTCCACAAAAGGGGGCACCCACGGCCTCACCGCGCGCTATGAGTTTATTAAAATTATTCAAACTAATTTGAATAAATTAAATCAAAATTGAATAAAACACATCTAACCTAACAGTTTAATTCTTTTAATTAATATTAAAGAAAGTCAGGGAGTCAATGTTAATTAAGAAAATATTATAAAATGCATGTCATGTTATAACATTGTTTTATTATAAAAAGGAAAAAAAACCTCTGTAAAATTTCATATCTCACTACTAAAGGAAAATTTTTTTTAAATTGCTTAACTTTTTGAAGGATTTGAAATTTTATCCCTTCTCTTGAAAATATTTTTTTTTTTTTTACAAATCTTTTTTTATATAGATAGATCAAAGAAGCTGTTTTTTTTTTCAAAGATATCATCTGGACAAAGTTAAAAATTATATGAAAAAAAAATAAATGAATGTTAAAATAAAAAAATTCAATTTCACACCACTGCAGCCTCCCCGAGAGCGAGAACAATAGGGACAGTAATTATCAGTAAATGTCAGCACTTGTCTAAGTTTTTCAGCGGGGACAGTAAACGGGTCAGTAATTGTCTAAGTTTATCAGCACCGACTAAGATTGTCAGCACTTTTCTAAGTTTATCAGTACCGGCAGTAAAAAGGTCAGTAATTGTCTAAGTTTTACAGTAACGACAGCACATTGTCAGTAATTTTCTAAGTTTGTCAGTAAAAAATGGGAATGTCAGTACGTTTTTGACTTAGTAGTGTGAGGACGGGCCAATAGGCAGGGAGATCAATGAATAATCACTATACATGAACATAATCATTTTTTTGGAACTTGAAAACAAAAACAAAAATGAAATTATTACAATTCTAGTAGCATAAATTCATAACGAACATGGTTATATTGAATTGACGCGTATGTATCAAAGTTATTTTAATTCCCTTCGACTTCAGATATATATTTAGCATTTAACGGATGTACGACTTATAGAAAAAAAAAGATTTCCGGCACTTGCACTTTCTTATAAGGGTGCTTTACTGTATTCCAGACTCCAGTAACCAATACCCCGGTAGATTTTTGGGATTCTCCCTCTACATTTCCAATTCAACTCAACGGAACGATGGCCATTTGTGTTTTAATGACACAAACTATACAGTAAAAACGATTCCACCCGTTGTGACCATAATCTGCCCTGTAAACGGACAGTACGTTATATATTATAATGAAAGACTAGACGGAATATCATACCCAGTTGACTATTCCGAATATGCTTTCAATGAATTATGTGAAGTCGAAGTTTACGGTAAGTAGAAAAACTCTATTAATGTTAAGGAAATAAATCGACGTCAAGATAAAACTGTAATCTTTTCAATGACTTTGTTATTTCTTCGATACCATAATTTTTTTTTTTTTTTTTGATGATGAGTTTTGTTTATTCATCAATAAACTTTCTTTTTACATTTTAATGTACCGATGTTAAACGTGAAGCCACATATAAAGGATTCGTTAGGTACATGTATTAGGTACGCGTATTATTAGAAAGGTGAAATGAAAGGAAATAACTTTCTGTTCTCAGGCTGTCCCTTGCCAGGCTTCTATGGAAAAAATTGTGACCAACCCTGTCCTAGCAACTGTCGATTTTGTCATATAGACACAGGAATATGTCAATCATGTAAACCAGGTTTTCAGGGATATCAATGTGAACTTCGTAAGTACATAAAGAAATAATAAGGGTTTTTGTACTTCTTATCATCAGGTTGTATAGTTTTTCAACACAGATGTTGAGTGATACTAGTTGCAGGTAAAATTTGATCCTTAAGAAGTAGAATTTCATTGGTTTACGTAAAAACCGATTCCTTTTTATCAGGCAAATTGAACATTGATGTGATAGAAACGTAGTTGGAATATCTTTTAATAGGTCAAAAATCCATTAAACAACTGATGTTTAGATACACATATACAGTCAAAACTTGTAAAATATTTTAAAATATTTTTTTTAAAGGGCATGGACACAGATTTGAAGTTAATATTTTCTGTATAGTATCACGACTTATATCTTTTAATAGCATTTAAAACAAAAATATTTTCAAATTTTCATTTTATCTAAAAGTAATTGAAACTTCAAAGTTTTGGTGGGTTTAATCAAAACATAGAAACAAACCTCCATTTTTAAACAGGTTTAGGTTGATTATAAAGACTCTTAAAGAATCAAAGTAATTCTAAATTTTAAGCCATCAATTCATAATGTTCAGAAAAAGGAGTAAAGCATACAGTTATTAAAATATTATTTTGTTATTTTTTATATGATGTATTTATGTATTTTCATTTTAAAATTCAATTCTAAGATTACTGTCTGGAAAATTTGTAAATATCATTATTATATCTGAAAAATATTAGCCCCGAATATAATAGGCTTAAATGCATAAAAGATATATTGTTTGTATGGTTGGATACCTATCATATCTAGACATGATTTCCCTAATTTAGTATCAGTTTGTAAAGCCTAAACAAAAATTTATGACCTTGTCCTGTCCTAAAAATATACCCTCTTTGATTTATTCAAATCAAAACATTTTCAAAAAATCTATCAGTTGAAAAATATTTTTTTTTCAATTCCTAATATTGAATTACATATTATCACTACAGCATTTATTAATATTCTAAGAGGGCTATATTTTATTTTCAAAAATTTATTTTTTTCCAACGTTTTCAATGCAATCTTCAAAAAAAAGAAAATGTCCAATGATTAGTCCGTTTAATTGTATTGTAAAATGCTTCGAGTCAGTATGAGTATTTTATAAATTATCGATACTTAATGTACCTACATGTACACTGAAAAAGAAGTCCTAATATGGGTCAGATATTTTAAACAGTGTTATTCTTAAATTTTTAGTGACAGGAACATATACTAGCTAAAGTTAGAAGAATCATTTATAATAAAGCAAATGTGGCGCATAACGTTTGTATTCAAAGCTAAAAAGGAAAATTATTGTAAAATTATAGCTTTCTTGCTCTGTTTTATTATAGAACAAATTCTTTTGCTTTAATATAATTCTTTTAAAAGGATCAAAACACAATCTTTACAAAAAGATCGTGCTGATATAGGTTTACATCCTATATCTTCTTTAAAAATTTGAAATTGATATACTTTTTTATTTCTGTGTAATTTAAGATATTACTATTTTGGAGGATTGGTGAACATTACTTTTTTTTATTATTATTTACATGAATAAAATAATAAAAAAATAAATAAAATTGATAATTGATTTAAGCCTGTGGTGTCCGAAACTATGGTCAATTCTGTTCAAAGCATTGTGGGAACTGTACTTACGGGGAAAGGTGTCATCCAGTGACTGGAATCTGTACAAACGGATGTGACGTAGGAGTTTATGGCAGCACATGCAAAACAGGTAAGACTTACTGTTTGAAATATAAATAAGTCTACTCCCGCTATACATGTACATATACCTAGTTTTGTATTAAAGTTTCCAAATAATTGTAGCCTGTCCTGTGGGATATCATGGAAGGAATTGTACTGAGGTTTGTGGCCACTGCGATTTATGTGACAGATTTACTGGGAAATGCACTACTCATTGCTATGCTGGTTGGAAAGGAGTCACCTGTAATGAAGGTACATTAAAATTTTTCTTTTTCAAAATAAACTTACTTTCTTTCTAAAAGTTTATATTATAGAATTCATTTAACTGCTTCTTATATTATCGCTCTGCATCCCCATTGGTGCTAAGCGGTGTTAAATTTGATTGATGGATTGTTTGTATATTGTTTAACGTTCCATTCGAAAATTTTTCTCTCATACAGAGATGTCACCGTGCACCGGTGAAGGGCTTCAGATTTAGACCAATACCCGTCACTCAGGGCCATTTAGAACTGAAGATTCTTTGTCGTGCCAACGCCTAACACCTACCGTGACACGGGACCTACGGTTTTAAGGTCATATCCGAAAGACCCGTTACTTTTACTTCTAGTACAGAGCGCTTGGCGAAGGAACAACCACTACCTATGTTTACGTCTTAGGTATGACGCAGGGCCGCGAAAGAGAATCGAACCCGGGCCTCTCAATCACGAGGCGACCGCTCTATCACTAGGCTTGCCTGGAGTGTTAAATTTGATAGTTTGACAGCAAAATATCATTTTTATTTCTAAAAATAGCAGGCCATCTGGTGGTTTTTTGCACACGAGAGATGAAAAAATATACCCCGGTACCGTAGAACCAGCGGTATAATTAGAATGTAAATTAATCCTGCTTTGCTAGGAGCGTGTCTTTTTATATTTGTTGCTGTAAAGAGTTTAAAGGCATATTATATATCATGGAAATAACGGGGCTATTAATGAAAGACAGGGGGGAGTTAAATGTAGGTTCTCGTTCCGCCTCCTGTAAATTATTGTACGGCGGTTTGTCATATTTCCTGCTAAATAGCTAGTTACCAGTTTTCATAGACATGTTGTTAATTTACAACTGATCAGTGATACAGCTAATGAACAGGACAACAATTCATACAAAAATATTATTTAAAGCAACATTCATTAGCCCATAGAAGGTTTCGATAATTGAACATTTTTTAATGTGTTTTTTTTGGGGGGGGGATGCTAAACCATTAATAAATATTAATTTCAATAAAAATATTTTAAAAAAAAAACGAACAAAAGAAACTAACTAAGAAATAATGAATAAGACACGAATGAATTGATATATTACATCTCAATTGCACCTGTAGCTTTGTAATGTTTTCTGTAAACAGAATGTGACAACGGCCAATATGGTAAAGATTGTGAGGAGAAATGTAAAAATTGCAGAAATGAAACACAGTGTAATCATATAAATGGATCCTGCTCACATGGTTGTAAACCTGGTTACATGGGAGACAGTTGTTCACAAGGTATTAATGATTCAATAGTATCAAATTAAACGTCTTTATTCCATACTGTCCATGAATGATTATTTTTTCTTCTTGACATTCAATCAAAACCTCCATGTAAAAAAAAACAACACCAAACTTAATTTTACAAAGCACTGATACTGTTTGCTAATTAAAATACTATGAACTCATTTTTATCTATCCCACTGTGGGACGTGGAGACATATCCTTTGGGTAAGACCGTATAAACAGAGGTCCCATGTCGCATGAGGTAATGGCATGTAAAAGATCCCTCACTTCTCAAAGGTCCTCACTGCCGAGTATAAGACAAAATGTGACGCTCTTCATCGGTAAGTGGTGGCGTCTCCAAATGATTGAAAAATGTTCGAGAGGGACGTTTAACAATCAATCAATCAATCATTGCTATCTAATTGGGTCGAGGTTATTTTTACAAACATATTTAGTGATAAATACTATTCCGTGGTAAACATACTAGCACCTGTTGTATTTGAAGGAATAGCATTGGTAATTTCTTTTTATATTTGCTGAGTTTGACATTTCTACAATAATTGAAAATACATTTCAAATGTTTAAAAATTTAAAGTTATGTAAAAAAAAAACACAATATGTTATTTACTGGGTTTTTTCTAACTGATTGTTTTGTTTTTAAGAATTAAGTTTTTAAATAGTAAAATAAGATATCTTTACTGTTACTTTGTTTTTCAGCAGGCACGACATTTGTCTTCAAACAACACTCTTTTGCCGTTTTTTTTTTCTTTTTTACTTTTACAGTTCAGTTTCTCTCGGATTATCAATCCAGTTTTCATGGAGTTTTGGCTGCACTTTGTGTATGCGTACTAGTTAATATTGTTTTAGGAAGTATTCTTATTTTATACTGGTAAGTTGTGTAAATATATTTAATGCTTTTCTGAAAATAATTTTGTTATTCTCGTTTCTTTCATTAACTTAAATAACAAAATATTGTTTAGACAATATTCATTTATTCTTCTTGTAAAAAATTCTTTTACTTTTCTCATGTTTTCTTTTCATTTTACACCTGTAGAATAACTTAAACTGTTTATAATTTTAGTAGAACATTATCTATTTATAGTTTTTATACTTTTAAAAAGCAAGAAAATAAAAAGAGTACAAATACAGAAGACTTATGAGGAAAATGACGATTCTAGCAAAACCAATGATATACATGTATATGAAAGCACCGGGAACGGTACCAACAATCGATATGAAGATGTTGAAGATCTGAGTCAACCATCTAACTATGAGGACATGTTAAGTCCTTTGTAAAATAAAACAAAGAATAGTTAACTTATGAATGAATAAAATTATGCATATGGTATCGTAGATAATTAATATTTCAATGCATTTTGTTATTTGGGTTTTCAATGCAAATAAAAAGAAACACATAGCAAATTTTGTACACATATGTATAACACAAGAACAAAACCTTTTTTCAAGTATTTGTATACATGTATGTAAAAGAAAGGGAAAGAAAATTCTGTAAAACATCGATACATTTAACGATCATGCTCATATTGCTCTACATGCATTTAATTCTCATAAATCTGATAAATAAATCACCATAATTGCTTTTGCTAAGATTCCATACATGGTATGTGTACTTAGATTTATATTTTAGCGGCTTTTGCGTAGACGAGGATGCGCGTATTCATGAAAACAGCTGAGAAATCATTTATATATATAATATACAACAAAAAGATATGTAGCGCTATTTCATGATTACGCCAAAAACTTCACATCCTTCGATTGTGTTAAATTTCAAATACGCCAAACTATGTAAACGTACCGTAATTTATGAATTATTTATTGAAATTCACTTTTTTCTTCAATGCATTAGGAATTAAACAATCCTAAAAATAATCAATTTTTTGTTATTTCTTCATATAAGAACCGTTAATGGTAGCTCAGTCGGTAGAGTGCTCGCTTCGTGATCGGGAGGTCGTGAGTTCTTATCTCGACCGCGAATGACCTAGTCGATAAAATGGGTAGCAACTGTTCCTTCGCCATGCGCTCGGCACTTTAAAGTGAAAGTAGTGGGTCCTTCGAATGAGACCTTATAAACCGAGGCCCTGTGTCAACCGCAGGTGTTGGCAAGATAAAGATCCCTCACTGCTCAATTGTCCTGAGTGTCGTGTAAAGGTCAAAATTTGAAGCCCTTCACCGGCATACGGTGACGTTTTCATATGATTGAAAAATTCTCGAGAGGGACGTTAAAAAATATACAATCAATCAATAAGTGACATAACTCTATTTCCATTTTAAAATCTAGAATAATTTGTTATAATCATTGGGCTTAATACTCTTCGTCTAAATGGACCATATGTTTTAGAAATATATTAAAAATTCCTATTGTAAAATCAGAAAAAATGCAAACCACCTACCCTTCACTAACACGGAAGTGATAAAAGAATTAGAGAACTCCATGCAAAATATGTTATGGCTCTAGTAGACAAGGATTGTCACAATAACATCTTTTTGCAAGGCTCTTTTAATAATTATCATTTCATTTTGAAGATCTTGGTTTTATTTCTACGTCTTGAAGTCCCACATATACGCACATTTCATTTTTCATCACAGCAAATCTTCAAAATCATATTTAATGTTTAATACTTGTAAAATACTAATTAATCAAGGTGTGTTTGATTTACCCAATCTGTACTGGATCCCTAAACTTTATAAAAAGCCTGACAAACTAAGATACAATGCTCTACCGAGACCTTATACATACTTAACAAGTATGAGCTGTCGTAAAGGAGAAAACTCAGTCGGCAGTGTAAATCAGAAGTGGATCCTCAAAAACTTGCAGGAACTTTTTGAAGCTTGAAAATAAACACATTCTCCAAATGGCAATGAAATGCTTACACCATTTTTGTAATTTAAACACAATGTGATGGTTTCCACAAAGTTCAAACAGATCCATTCCAATCTTTGACCACGCTTTTGATGGAAATTCACTAGAGATTATTGGTTCCTTAGGATTAACAGTTTGATAATTGGTACAAGTTGCACATGCGCTCACGAGGTTCTCTATGTCTCTTCCCATACCATACCATTCCAAAAGAGAATGTCTCTCGCTCATTTTGGTCTTCACAATTCCTTGGTGTCCGATATGTAGCTTCTCCAGCATTTCATTCTGCATCGACTTTGGGACAACCAGTTTGTGTTACTTGTAGAGAATACCATCAATGCATGAAATTTCATCACGGAAATTCCAGTAAGCTCTAATTTCCGATGCGAGGTCTGCTTTGTTGTTTAGCCATTCATCCAAGATAGTGTCTAACTCATCATCTTGACCTGCTGTCCTGTACTTCTTGTGACACAGGTAAGTATGAGGTAAGATGTATCTCATTAACCTGTAGATCTGGTACGAGAGCTTCCTTAGTCTCTTTCAGATAGGAACGACTCAAATGATCAGCCAAGAACATTTTCTTTCCAGGTTTGAAAACTGCTTGAATGTCATACTTTTAAAGCACTAAGACAAATCTTTGTAGTTTTGGAGGTGAAGATAGAACAGGTTTCTTGAAGATGCTTTCCAAAGCTTATGGTCCGATTCAACAAGTACACTGAGACCATATACATAATAATGGAATTTTGTACATCCATAGAGAATAGCCTTCTTTCTCAATCTGTGAATATCGTTGTTGTGTTTCTGTCAGTGCGCGTGATCCAGACTCAACTGGCTTATCTTCCTGAATCAATACTGCACCTAGTCCTTTAGAACTGGCATATACGGACAACATCACTGGCTTATTTTGGATCAAAGTACTGAAGGATCGATGCACTAGTAGTCATTCGTTTCATTTTCTCGTGGCTTTCTTTCTGTTCATTTTCCCATTTCGATAGAGTGTTTTTCTCCAGTAGCTGTCATAATGGACTGCCAACTTCTGATAGATTGGGCGTAAACCTCCCTAAGTATTGAACAAAGCCCATAAACATTTGTAAGTCCTTCACATTATTGAGACAGTCCATTTCCTGTACAGCCCGGACTTTTTCGGGATCGGGTTTTAGACCCGAGTCAGTAAATCTGTGTCCCACGTACATCAGCTCTGATCGTCTGATCTCACACTTGTCCACGCTGATCTTCAAGTTATGTTGTCTTGCTCGATCCAGTAAGGCTTTCAAACGTCTGTCATGTTCAGCTTCTGTGGTTCCCCATACAATGATATCATCAATAATAGCCTGTGTTCCATCGAGATCCTCAACCATTTCGGATATGGCACGTTGAAACACTTCAGGTGCGGACTTGATTCCGAAGGGCATTCGAGTAAATCGATAACGTCCAAACGGAGAATTAAACGTGCAGTGTTTCGAACTCTCGTCATCTAGTTTGGTCTGCCAAAATCCAGAAGTAGCATCTAATTTGCTAAAAATCTTGGCTCCAGGCATCCTAGCTGCAACTTCTTCAACAGTTTTTAAGGAAAAATGTTCCCGAAGTATGGCACGGTTAAGGTCACGAGAATCAATGCAAATCCTGACCCATTTCGTCAGCTTGCGTTGCTTCACAATCACTCCTTCACGCTCCATTCTGTCGAGCTCTTCCTTGACCTTGTCCCTCAAGGCTATGGGAATCTTGCGTGGAGGATGTATCACTGGCTGAATGTTTCATCCACCTTGTTTGAGTAAATGCCTGGTCAGCATCCATGTCCACTGAATAAGTCCTGATAATCCTGAGGAATGCCATGTGGTACAGTACGGTTTTTCCTCTCAATGCTGTGTATTCGCTGAACGAGTCCAAGCTTAGAACATGTGTCAGCTCCCAGAACAGGGTTCACAGTTTGGTCAATAATGTAGAATTTCACATATAGCAGCACTGCATCCTTCCATACACAGGGTAGTATAACAGTAACAGCACAACGAATGTAGTGTCCAGAGAACGACTTCAGTGGTGAAAACGTTGATGTAACTTTCAAGATTTTGTTTATTATCTTGAGATCAGCTGATGACAAAACGTTACACTTTGCTCCAGTGTCAAATTGGAAGGGATTTTAGTGTCCTTCACCATCACTGTTTCATACCATTCTAAATCAGGATTTTCAGTATGGACATTCACTGAACCAATAAAGAATTCCTCATCTGATGTGTCTACTACATGCATAGTCTTTGATCTATTGCTTTCCTTTGAATTAGCGACAGCACCCCTTTTTTCCTGAGTGACACTTAACTGCAAAGTGGTTTGGATTTCCACACTTTCTACATGTTTCACCATATGCAGGACATCGTTTAAACTCATGAGTTTGGCCACAATATTTACAGTCTTTCACTATCGGTTTCTTACTTTCACTTTCGCTTTTAGTCGGTGCTGACATCCGGTTTGGGGATACTTCCCATAATCCATGTACCGATTTATCTTCCATAGACTGTATTTGCTGCTTAGAAATTTCACATGTACGCGCAAAGTTCATAGCCTTCTCCAGGGTTAAGTCTCAACCCTCACCAATGCATTTTTCACGTACCTTGTGATCCCGAGTACCGAACACGATAGCGTTCCGAATCATACCGTCCTGGTCCTTATATCCACATTCTTTCAATAAAAGTTTTTCAAACGTTTCTCTCTCTTTCTGTGTTCTACTGAGGATCTTGTATCTCAAATAAACACGATTTGACTTCGGTTTCACGTGGTTTTCAAACTTCTCCTTTATCACTGAGAATTTCATACTATCTTCCTCTGATAGGTTCCAAGTTGAATAGATATCTCTTCCCTTGTCGCCAATCCATATCATCAGGTAATTACAATGTTCTTCTTCCTTGTTTTTGCTCAATGGACCCTTTCTCCAGAATTCCACGTGTTGTATAAACGTGCGCCATTCCTCAACGAGATCCTGGGCCTCCCAGTTAAATTTCGGCGTGACAGCTGAATTCATCGTATCCATCACAATCCTTGAATCCTCTTCTGTATAACTGCAGCACTTATTTCTGCAGATGGTGATGGAAAAGGGAGATATCAAACCGCTTCTGACACCATGTAATGTACTGTGTATTCACAACACCATTGTGAGTTAAGAACTGATTTATTACCTTCTTTTACAGGAGAGCTCATAAGATAAGAACAGTTACTCTTAATAAAATAAGAACATACATTTCAACAGAGTGAATTCAATTGCATAATTAATTTATTATTTATCTTTTTTCTCTGCCATGGTCGTCAAGTCAACATTTAAATAGATAAAATAAATAAATTGACTACAACATAGTATTTAGGACGTATTTTCTCCAAGGTAACCGATATATGCCTTGTTCATTCCCAAAACTTACTTTGGAAGCCTTTC